AATTACTTACATACCTTATCAGATTGCCCACCTTCGAGACCTCGGCGGTTCGAACATAAACGTGTTCGCCGGTAGAGTATTAAAAACTCTCTTCTCCGATAAAATCACCGCCGAGGTGCTCTTTTGCAACGGTTCAGAGGACAACCCTAAAAGATGGTTTACTAAATCTAACATCTACGCCGTCATGGCAGGTAACGCTTCATGCATAAGCTAATGATCTCCTTTTAACGCAGAAGTTAGCAGGGACTGATACAGGGCACACAATTTGGACCCAGCCGATGACCACCAGACCTTCCAAAGGGCTTTTAAGAAGGCTTACGACCGCTCTGGCGGCAGGGGCTTTATTTAATACCCAAGCGCTCTGGCGGCAAGGATGAGTTCAATCAAAAATTTTCTTACCGTGTTCAAACTACTGCCATCATCAATATTTCGTAATTACTAATCGGGCAACATATTTTTGGTCTTGCAGAAAACAATCGGCGCGACGACGATGGTCCGGGCCCATCCACCAGTACCCCTTATTGCTCCCAAGTAGACAATCTTAGCTCCAATTTTAGTACAGAATTGTAATGCGCCAAAACTTAAAACCAGATTACTTTTTATCGATTGTACACTTTTACATACGTTTTTTACCCTATTTTTTACGTAATAAATTTTTCAAACATTTAAACGTCTTCAAAAAAGTACTTTTCTACAGCGTTTCGAAAAGGGGGTTTTGGCAAGGTATAGGGTACCCCCTGTTCGGCTGAAAAATAGGACTCTACATTGTAGAGTTGTAGAGCTAGAATCCGAATGGAATTCACTTCGATTTGCTATTGGGGACATGGACGGTGAAATTCATGGAATTTCACGAGGTAGGCAATTTACTCTAAGTCACTGACTGACTTCCTCCGAGACGGAAATTAGTTTAACAGATCTGACCATCGTGCCATGCCTTGCCTGTGGTGAGGAACTCTAAAAAGGGTTCATTTTAACCAATGTATTACCGGCAAACGTTAGGACTGCGAGATACGCGTGTTTCTGGCTCATTAGCCGTCGTCAGCCGCAGTTACCCGACTCCAGTATAGCC